CTATCACGTAACCATGTAAACTCATATTAACGATCATCTTCCTTTAAATTACCCAGCGTGTAATAAAGCATAAATGAAGACTAATACCAAGGGGGGAAATTTATTCAATAGAAACTCAGAAATGACACCAGTATGGCAGCATACACTTGTAATCCCAGCAATTTGGGAGTCTGAAGCAGGAGGATCACTAATTGGCCAGCCTGGGCAACTTATTATTGTTATTCTTTAGAGGAGAAAGGTTTATTTTGGCTCATGGTTTCAAAGGTTTGGTTTATGGTTGACTGACTTTATTACTCTGGGTTTATGGTGAAGCAGAACATCATGGTGGAGGAGCATGGTGGCAGAAAGCTGCCCAGTTCATGACAGCCAGGAAGCTGAACAACCTGGGCAACTTAGTGAGACCCTGACTCAAAAATTAAAACAACAACAAAAGCCTTAGAAACGACACAGATGATAGAATTAAAAGACAAGGGCTGGAGATGTAGCTCAGTGGTGGAGCCCTTGCTTAACATGTGTAAGACTCTGGATTTGATCCCCAGTATTACCACTGAAAAGAAAAAGAAAAAGAAAAAAAAAATTAGAAGACAAAACCCATTGCAACAGGTATTTTAGTACATCCCATACATAGTAAAATATATTTAAGAAAATAGAGAAAGTAATAAGCTTGATGAGGAGAGAAATACCATATATACAAACACGTTTTAATTTCTAGAGACGAAAAATAATATTTGAATTAAAAGGTCTACCGAATGGGATCAATAGCAGCTTAGACGCTGTAATTTTCTTTCCTTTTGGGTACTGGACTGGGTCTCTACTGAGTATATCCTCCAGTCCTTATTTTTATTGTGAGACAGGGTCTCTCTAAGTTGCTGAGGACCTTGCTAAGTTGCTGAGGTTGGCCTGAAACTTTCAATCCCCCTGCATCAGCCTCCCAAGTTGCTGGCATTACAAGCATATGCCACAGCACCTGGCAGCTTAGACACAGTAGGAGAAAAGATTAGTGACCTTGAAGACATAGCAGTAGATATTATAAGATATGGAACATAAAGAAAAAACAGCACAAAAAAAGAGAACATTGTTAAAGATCTTAGAATATCATTGAGTGATCCAGTGTACGTGTAATTTGAGTCCCAGAAAGAGAAGTGGGGAAAACTGAAAAAAAAAATTGAAGATGCACTAGTTAAAAAATTTTAAAGTACATTTCCTTAAACTTCATTTTGGGTACAAATATATTTGATTTTTTGTTGTTTTGTTTTTGTACACTCTTGAGGAAACCATTCCTACCAGCAGCGTATGCAATTCTAATTGCCTTGGAAACACACCAGCAACTGGTTATTTCCTTCTCTCCTTCCTCTCTCCTTTTTTCTAGCTCTAGCCATTTTTTGAATGGATATGTAATGGTACCCCATTTTTTTTTGTACCAGGGATTGAACTCAGGGGCACTCAACCATGGGCTGGCCTTGAACTTGTGATTCTCCTACCTCAGCCTTCCAAGTAGCTATAAGTTTCCTTTTTTTTCCCTAGTTTGCTAAAAGTTTTTATTGTAAACAAATGTAGGACTTTAAAAAGTATTTTTCTGTATATGTAATAATATGACTTTTCCTTTTAAGTCTGTTGATGAGGTAAACTGCATTGACTTTCAAATATTGAACAGCCTTTAGTTTCTGGGATACATCTTGATTATGATATACTTTTATGTATTGCAGGGTTTGATTTGCTAGTAATTTTGTTGACAATTTTTTCATTTATGTTCTTGTGGGATGTTGGTCTGTAGCTTTCTTTTCTTATATGTTATTATTTGGTTTCTGTATTGGGGTAATGCCGGCTTTCTTAGTGAGGCATTGGTGGTGTTACTCTTTTCTGAATTTTGGAAGAGTTTATGAAAATTGGTATCACTTTTTCTTTACCTATTTAGTAGGATTTGAACATCTGAAATGTTCAAATTTCAGATGTTGTAGGTTTTTAAGTATAGATTCCAATGTTTAAATAGATATGGAACTCCAGTGGCTATCCATTTCATCTTCAGTGAAGTTCATTCCCCAGTACCAAAGGAGAAAGAAGAAAGAAAGAAAGAGAGGGAGGGAGGGAGGGAGATAAATGAGAACAACTCTGGTGTTTCCCTTTCTCCAGGATCACAGCCCTTAGGTCCCACCTCCACTGCTTGCTCTTCAATGCCATGATGCTGACATTTTATCTAACGTTTTTAGTTGTTTTCAGCTATTCTATTAAGGCCAAAATTAGAAGTCCCTACATTCTCCCTAGTTCTGCCTGCTTCTATGAGCAATCAAAGGACAGGTAAAAGCAGGAAGTATAGAACAATCAATTATTTATGGCTATTTATTTTCCAGATGAGTTTGTGGCAGGTCACCTAGTTTTCCAAGAGTAACCTCTAGACTTTACACAATTATAAGGTCTAGCTTCCATGGAAATGACCAGAGTAGTCCTTTCGTCCTCCTGGCTTTGCCCTGAGTAACTGTGACTTTAGACAAATTGCTCATCTTCTTTAAGCAAATTGGTTCTTCTTCTTCTTCTTCTTCTTCTTCTTCTTCTTCTTCTTCTTCTTCTTCTTCTTCTTCTTCTCCTTCTCCTTCTCCTCCTCCTCCTCCTCCTCCTCCTCCTCCTCCTCTTCCTCCTCCTCCTCCTCCTTCTCCTTTTTTTTAACCTAAAATAGAATTAGCAGTTAATTTCTTGTCTTACAGAAATATTGTGAGGATGAATGGATGAATAGTGAACATATAGGAAAATCTTTTGAAAGACTATGAAATCCTGCAGAAACAGAGGTATCTCTTACTAACTTTTAAACTCATAGTCCAGAAACATCCCCAGAACTGGGAATGAGTGTCTCAGGGTATGGAATTGGGTGAGCCACAAACTAGCTGTTGATTTTTGGTAAGTCACTTAGTTCTTCCTGATCCGTAATTTGAGAGTTTTTAATGAATCAATTTGTATGTGATGTGACAAAAAGTAAATAAATAAACCATTGAGTCTAAGTCAGTTAATTGAGAGGAAGAACCTTCCAGGTTAATTCTCTTCCTTTTGGCAGTTGGGAATCAGAATCTTTTGGAAAAATGTGCTGAGGCCTGTACTGAGGTGATAAAGATGTGTGTTCTTACATCTTCTCCAGAGGAGAGAGGGTCAGAGAAGAGGGAGATGTGATCATTGGCTTCATTTCACCTGCACAGAACACTAGGGTCTGTGCCTATCATTATGCCTGGACCTAGTTACAGAACTCACAATTACTGAAGATAAAAATGAAAGGGGGCAGGGGTATGGGGAGAGAGTGTGAGACAGGATGAGCGAGGGACAGTTCACAGTCCTCCTGAGAGTCAGACATCAGCTTGGAGATATCTGTGAGTAGGCTTACTTTCAACACTGTTGCCTCATTTTCCTGAATATCTGACAGTAGGACCCTACAATTCTAAATTGTCCAAGTTCTTTCTTCTATTTAAACTATTTAATTTTCATCATAAACTTACGAGATAGTAGTAGGTAGAGCAGGAAAGGCAAAGGGGCCTGAGAGGTGATATAAGTTGCCCTAGTCCCACAATGTAATATATATTTACTCTGCAAGGGATTGTGTGTGTGTGTGTGTGTGTGTGTGTGTGTGTTCATGTGCACTCATCCATGTGTATGCACAGAACTTGGGAAAGATAAATATTATTATTATTTATTTTTTGGTACTGGAATTGGACTAATTGTCTCATGCATGATAGGCATGTGCTGTACCACTGAGCTCCATCCCCAACCTCTAGACAGTTTTGAAGAACTATCTTCCCTTTTTTTTTCACTCATTTTCTCCATATCTGATCAATCTCCAAGATTTTTCTCTTTTTATTCATCCTCTTCTACTGCTTTAATGAGAGCCTCAGTCCAACCTGGACAGTTGCTTTCGTCTCCTGACTAGACTCCCTGTCCCCACTGTACATTAAATACACCCTCTTCCAGCATCCCTGTTCTACTCAGAATCAGCCCATACTTTCAGCCTGGCCAACAGAGCCCCTAGCTACCTGGTATTTGACTATATTTCCAGACTTATGTCTTATAAACCATCCCAACCCACTCACATTTCCCCTCTTCATTTTGTAGCTAATTTCTTCCTTTATTTTATCCTTCCTTAATTAATTTGTCAATAATTTCCTTCTATTCTTAAATTCTTATAGCCACTTTAGCTTGTCAGAGTAGGTCTCACTTCTGTGCCTTAGTCAAAGCTTCTTCCTGACATGGTGTATATTTCCTCTTCCTTCTCCATCAGTGATTCACTACTACAATTTTTTTTTTTTTTTTGAGACAGTCTCGCTATGTTGCCCAGGCTGGTCTCCAACTCCTGGGATCAAAATACAGGAGCATCTTTCAGGGCTCTGGACTCAAGACAAATGCTTTCTTGACACATCTGTCTTTCCTCAGTGATTCTTATGTCCCATGATGGCAGAGACGTTGTCTCATTCATCTTTGTGTCCTCAGATCCCTAAACAGCTGCCTGTGTGATAGTGGGTACTTAATAAATATTTGGTGAATGGATTAATAAAAGAATTCCTTGCCACATGTGGCACTGAATCACGTGCAGTCCTACTTTCTGTCATTTTCTAGGAAATGTTTTTCCAGTACAAAATTATGTACATTTCTGAGTGTAGAGACTTTTATACCTTTCTTTTATCTGCTGTCCAATGCCTTGTCCAGTGCTGGAAGATGTGCCTGTTAGGAGATACTTTAGCAAAGTAGTCTTCAAAATCTATAAATATTGCTGGAGGCAGTGGTACAGATCTGTAATCCCACCTACTAGGGAGGCTGAGGCAGAAGGATAGCAAGTTTCTGAGGCCAGCCTGGGCAACTTAGTGAGACCCTGTCTCAAAATAAAGTAAAATGAAATGAAGTGAAATATAATGAAATAAAATAAAATAAAATGGGTTGGATATGTGGCTCATTGGTAGCACATCTCTGGATTCAACACCTAGCATATATACACACACACACGAAAAGAAAAAAAGAAAAAGAAAAAAGAAAGAAAAGAAGAAAAAACCCTACATATATTTAACTTCAGATTTGCACTCTATGGGGAGTGAGGGCAGAAACCTTGAAGGAGGGCCTGAGATTTCAAGAAGGAGGGGCCCTCACATTTGAATGAGGGCAGGAAGTCAAACCAACCAATGGCAAGAAACTGGCCCCACTCTAGCTGAGTTTTCCTTTTAGTCCTTCACTGAAGAGCCATAAGGAATTCTACAAGCCAAGGTAAGCAAGGGCCTTGGGGGAAAACAGGAGCCTGATGTGCCAAATTTCTTAATAGTTCATATTTAATCACAAAATTCAGGTGGTTCTGTGCTTATACAGGAATGCCACCATTCACACAATAAAAGGTGATCATATGTGTTTAATGAAATTGTATTTTGTATGCTTGAAGAGATCACATTTTTAAAAGCAATTCCATGAGGAAGGAAATTTTCTGTAAAGCAAAGACTCATCTCAACATGAACCTATATTATAAATGTGAATGTCTTGTATTAGGCTTGCTTATGCTGAGGCTCAAATATTTAAGTTTCTTGATTCTTTTACTTTGTTTTCAAATTTAATTAGGATCATTGACATTCATGCTGATCATTCTAAATGTGGGCTTCCTTGATTTAACATGAAGTCTTGTTTAGCTCCATTTTTCCCCCCAGCAATATTTGGGATCTGGGCTTTTCTCAGCTCTTTTCTTCCCTATATCCTTCTTACTCATACAGCTCAGTGGGGCCTCCCCCAGGCAAAAAGGAGCAGTTACCCAAGACCCTTTCTTTAAGGGACTAACCAGGGTCTTTCTAGCCCAGGTCCTGGTTTCCTGGGTGACTCATGGATTCATTCCAATTCCCCCTGCCCTTCATTTCTTTTCTTCTGTTTTATTGCCCATTCCCTAGCTATTCACAAGAAATACAATTTTATCTTTCATTATTTACTTTAAATTCTGCACTAATCTTCCCAATTCTCATTCCTTAAGAAATCAACTAACTCTCTAAAGGACTTTAGTTCTGTGTTTCCATGTAACTGGCCTTAGAAATTCTCACCAGCCCCTCCTGAGAGAATAAATAATCTTTTAGCCATGGATCTGAGTTTGTTTTTCAGTTGAGAACAGGAGATGGAGAAAGCAAGTGGAACACAGTCCATTGCTCTGTCCACAGTGGACAATGGCCTAGAGAATCCAGGGCTGGAGCTCACGGTAATTCACTAGTTTCTCTTCTGCAGGGTGTTGTGGGCTGCTTTATGGCTTCCTTTAGGGGCTACTCTCAGTCTCCTTCACCTCTGGCAGGGCTCTGTGACTAACCTCAGTTCTATGTTTGTTTACAGACAGAAGTAAGTCCTAAGGCAACCAAAAGGACTGAAGTGCAAGATCACAGTTTTGAGGACAGTCTGGAGTCTCCCTCTTACCCAAGGTATATATATTCTAGAATCTAATTCATTTACATTCTCAGAGAGCTTGTCTTTTTTTGTGGCAATGAGACTATAACCGCCCCACATCATCATATGCACATATTTGTATTTTACATGATTGTTAAATAAACCTGTGTCATAAATAAGTTCATCAGTGTTAGTTGGACTGGGGAGTACTACTTTAATATTTTTCTTTTCATTAGAAAATTGAGGCTTAGAAATTAACTTACCCCCATATTGATTAAAAACAAAAAGTTTTTCTGGAATACTTAGATTTATGGATGGATAGAAAGGGAAACATGGGAATCGGGCAAAACAACTTACTGGAAAGATGATAAAGAAAGACAGAGTACAGAGTCTTGGAAGTGCAGGGAAGGAACTCAAGGTTGAAGGTACAATCCCAAGTGTTATGTGAACAGCGTCAAGAAAGAAGTGAGAAAAATCTTTGAATTTGATTATGGATCTGTGTTAGAAATAATGTTGAAGAAAGTTGTTTGAATAAAATAGGTTAGTGGGAAGCCATGTTCCATGATGTGGAAAGGGGCTGGGTATTATAAAGAGTGCAAAAGTCATACATGGAAAAAGGAAGAGGAGAATATGGGATAGTTTGTAAAGAAATGTGTGGCTATGATCATAGATGTTCCCAAACAAAAGGTTGTTTTATCCTCTTTATTTTTAACAACTAACTCAGTGACTTCTTCAGTCTTTTGTTTTTTTCTCTACAGTTTAACAATTTAACTTATGTTTTTTTATGTAAATACATGTCAACACGAACATTACAATTGTTTTTCCCAATCTGTTGATAAGCTCTTTGTGTATTTTTGTGCTTACTAACAGTGTATACTTTGCTTACCAGTATAGTAGTTAGTAACGTGAATTCCATAGTCTGACCTCTTAGAACGATATCTGAATTCTATCCAGTGGGGTGCTGGTAAATGTTCAAGAATTGGCTCTCCGAGTGTAGTTTTGCCATGAATATTGATTGATATTTTTGCTGATCTTAGTGAATAAGACAGGGTGTTGGTAAAATTTTCCTGTAATGGAAAAAATAGTAAATATTTTAGATTTTGTGGGCCATAAGGTCTCTGATGCCTTTTTGAATTCTAGCATTTTAATGGGAAAAAAAAAAAAAGCCACAGGATGTACCAAAAAAAAAAAAAAAAAAAAAAGGATGTGGCTGTGTTCTAACAAAACTTTATAAAATGAAGGTAAATGGATTTTGCCTATAGTTTGGTGATCCTTAGTCTAGATGAAATAATAAATTAAGCTGTAATTTATAGCATTTACCTATAGTTTTAAGTTATTCCCAACATAGTTGATTCTGAGGTATCAGACAGATAGATGTCACTGAAAAGAAGTTGGGAAGAGCTACACGATTGCACATCATTGTATGAGATTTCCACCCTACAATAGATATAAATAACTTCAAGAATTTAGATGGTGGTAAAATAGGAAGTGGTGAGTTTTGAGTAGTTATTATCTTTGTTTTTAATGTCATTTAACTGTAAGTTTATGTGATTTAATTTTTGATGAAGACTAAAAAAATTCCTAAAAATTTAATAATCTCCTCTTTTGAGCCAGTACAAGCAGCTTTCTCTGCACCACTTACCAGATGCTGGGCAGGTTACTTATCTTCTCCAAACCTGTTTTTGCCCTGTAAAACAAGAATAATATTAGCACTTAGCTGAAAGGATGTTGGTTTATTTGTGGGTTTTTTTTTTTTTTTTTTTTTTGTCTGTGTGTGTGCCAGATTGTCCTTGACACCTTAAATTGCTCTAACGTGTAATTATTTCTGGTTCCTCTCATCTCTTGTCAACTTTACATTTCTCATATAAAAACGTTAACTAGCTATGTACTTATAAAATCATGCCTTGAAGTTTTAACTTGCATTTCTTAAATTGTAGTAAAGCTCCATGTTTCTCCCATTTGGCGTCTTTGTATGTAACTTAATTTTTCTTCATCGACTACAGTAGATGCTGGATTTTGAAACTCATCTTCTCTTTCCTTAATTATTCAAATAGCACCCATACAGATTTTCTTGTTTCCAATTTTCTCCATCTCTTGCCAACCTATCCTATATAGCTTCTACCAGAACTGCCTAAGGCATAACTCTGAACTCCTTTGTTCAAAATCTCTGTAGCATGTGTGAAGCCCTGCCTTCAATAGCCAGTACTGAAGGGGGAAAAAAAAAAACCCTAACAAAAGACGTGAAAGACCTCTACAATGAAAACTACAGAACACTAAAGAAAGAAATTGAAGAAGACCTTAGAAGATGGAAAGATCTTCCCTGTTCTTGGATAGGCAGAATTAATATTGTCAAAATGGCCATACTACCAAAAACACTATACAGAGTTAATGCAATTCCTATTAAAATTCCAATGACATTTGTCATAGAAATAGAAAAAGCATTTATGAAATTCATTTGAAAAAATAAGAGATCCAAAATAGCCAAAGCAATTCTTATTGAAAAAAAAGTGAAGCAGGAAAAATCACAATACCAGACCCTAAAGTATACTACAGAGTCATAGTAACAAAGACAGAATAGTATTGGAACCAAAACAGATATGTAGACCAATGGTACAGAATAGAAGATACAGAGACAACCTACATAAGTACATTTATCTCAAACTAGACAAAGGCATAATAAACATACATTGGAGAAAAGATAGCCTCCTCAACAAATGGTTCTGGGAAAACTGGAAATGTAGTAGAATGTAGTAGAATGAAATTGAACCCCTGTCTCACCATGTACAAAACTCAAAGTGGTTCAAGGACCTAGGCATAAGACCAGAGACCCTGTACCTACTGGAATACACTTTTTTCTTTTTTGGTACCAGGGTTTGAACCCAGAAGGGCTTAACCACTAAGCCACATCCCCAGCCATTTTTTAAAATATTTTATTTAAAGACAGGGTCTCAGGCTGGGGCTATAGCTCAGTTGGTAGAGTGAGTTCTTTGCATGCACAAGGCCCTGGGTTTGATCCCCAGCACCTGCCCCCCACCAAAAAAAAGACAGGGTCTCACTGAGTTCTTTAGGGCTTTTCTAAATTGCTGAGGCTGCCTTTGAACTTGTAATCCTCCTGCCTCAGCCTCCTGAGCCACTGGGATTACAGGTGTGTACCACCACACCTGGCCCTAATTTTTTTTTTCCTTGATTAACTCTGATGATCTGGGATTCTTTGTGGGATGCAGTATGAAGTGTGGCTTTAAGCTGATGCTTTTCCACACTGATATCTAGTTAGCTGCTCAACAATAGTTAATAAGTAGTGAGTTCTTCGATTCTGATGTTTCCTCAGCTTTGGAATTCATTAAGTTAATGTGATAGTTTGAATTTTTATTTTTAGGTTTTAGGCGTGCTGGGGATCAAACCCAGGGCCTTGGGCATGCTAGGCAAACACTATGCAGAACTATATCCCAGCTTTTAATCTATATTTGAGTAATTTATTTCCTTGTCATAATTGTTTACAATGCACTTTAAAATTTGGCGGGCCAAGTATTTGCATTAGTTTTCCCTTTTAAAAATATTCCTTGGACCCAGTGTGGTGGTGCGTGCCTATAATCCCAGCAATTCAGGGGAGGAGGATAACAAGTTTGAGGCTAGCTTCAGCAAGTTAGTGAGACCCTGTCTCAAATTAAAAATAAAAAGAACTAGGGACAAAACTAAGTGATAAAGCACTCCTGAGTTCAATCCCCAGTGCCACAATTATTCAAATAATTTGTCTTCTCAAATTGCCAAATTCTAAAAGTATTCCCAGCTAGCTGTGTAGCTCAGTGGTAAAGTATGTGTGCTTAGTATGCAGGAGGTCATAGGCTCAATCCCTAGCATGCACACATGCATAAGTAGATAGATAGATAGATAGTTAAAAATATTTCTGAAGGGAGTAGAATTGTTATTGCATTAATATTATACATTAATTTAGATGCTGGGTGTGGTGGCATATGCCTCTAATCCCAACAATTCAGGAGGCTGAAGAAGGAGGATCCCAAGTATAAGGCCAGCATCAGCAATTTAGGGAGACCCTAAATTAGTGAGGCTCTGTCTCAAAATAAAAAAATAAAAAGGACTGGGAATTTGGTTCAGTGGTAAGGTGCCCCTGGGTTCAATATCAAGTGCAACCCCCCTCAAAAAAAACCTCAAAAAAGAATAGATTATAGAGTGTTGTCAAGTTTATTTAATTTTTTTGGGGGGGTCTTCCAAATCAGGACAATGGTTTAACCCAGTTTACTGATGTCTTTTTCATCTCTCCCGCCTCCTCCTTCCTACGAATAGAAGCCAAGGGTGCTTTACCACTGAGCTACATCCCCAGCCTTTTTTCTTTTTTATTTTAAGACAGGGTTTTGCCGAATTGTTAAGGCTGACCTCAAACTTGCAATCCTACTGCTCCAGCCTCCCAAGTCACTAGGATTACAGGTGTGCACCATCATGCCTGGCCTACTTGTCTTTTTTATAGCTGCCACTAGAGTTATAATTTTATGAAGTAAATTTTCTTTATTTAAAAAAAAATTTTAGTTGTAGTTGGACACAATTCCTTTACTTTATTTATTTATTTTTATGTGGTGCTGAGGATCTAACCCAGCACCTCGTACGTGCTAGGCAAGCAGTCTACCACTGAGCCGTGACCCTAGCCCTATAAAGTGATTTTCTTTTTTTTATGTATTTATTTATTTGTTTTTAGTTATAGGTGGACCCACTACCTTTATTTTTTTATTTTTATGTGGTGCTGAGGATCAAACCCAGTGCCTCTCATATGCTAGGTGAGTGCTCTACGTCTGAGCCGCAACCCCAGCCCTGAAGTGAATTTCTTTATTTTGATTTATAAATCAAATGTCATAACATATTTCAATCACTCTGGTTTTTTTTTTTGCTTTTTTTGTAAGTGAAATTTGGATGTGTATTATAATTGATTTCATGTCATAAGTTTAATTGGCACATTTGTTGCCTTTTTAGGATAACTTTTAATAAGGCATAGCATATATACAGAAAAATAAACATAATCATGCAC